CTACGGCTGGTGCGGGGTGGCTCCCTTGGTGTCTCCGGGGTGGCGGCGGGCTCTCGGAGGCCCAATGTGGTGCTGCTTCTCACCGATGACCAGGACGAAGTGCTCGGCGGCATGGTAACGCTAAAATTCCTGCCCCGCCCCTCTATCTCCAGGGGTGACATCCCGGTTCCTTGCCTTTTCCTGTCCCCACCCCCACTCTCGGAACTAGCTGCCTAGACCCTGGGTAGATTTCGTTTTGACGCGCAAGGCCCTTTAGGCAGATTTAAGGAGTCTTAGGATTCTGTTTCCTCTTCTGAATTGATACACATGCACTCACACAGTGCTTCTAAGTGTGGACCGTACTGCTGCAGAGTTTGCGTTCATGTCTGGAAATAAATGTGAACGCTAGTAGGGGTGGGTTGAAGCGATGAGGAGCAGGTGCTGGCAGAGTACGAAGCCTTGATTGTTCTTTTGGATTAGAAGATCGGAGAACAAGTGAAGTCCCTTTTATGAAGAGCCTAGGCCACCTCTGCCTTTGTGCCTGTGTGCAATGTCTGTGCCTGATCTCTGTAAAAATCAGGGCTGAAATAAACTAATCTAGGAGCTTGGTCGTCGAACTGTCGAGAGTGTGTTTTGCTTTGTAAGAATCACGAAAATTCAATTAACCTAATTGAACACCTGGCTGCTGGATTAGATACTGTCATTGTTCCCTTTTACATCTAATGAGTGCTGCTCAAGACTTAATTCTTTCCCAGAGCTAAATTGTGTTAATGTTTAGAGTGCTAGAATTTATGAATTGTGTGGATATCCACCCCAACTCATCCTCATGGATGTCCAGAAACGGGCTTGCGCAGGACGTAAGTAGTTGAGGCAGAGTTGGGACAGAATTCTGATTAGTCCTCTGATTCTGGGTCTAGCATCCCTCGCAACTTTTTTAAAAACAAAGCTTTATGGCTTTCTTTGGTTCAGTTCTCTTTTTGCTTTCAGTGGAATGCTGACACTGTGAAAACACTCCAGGCAAGAGGTTCCCAAGTTTTACTGTGTAGTACATTCCTAGCTCAGTGTCCTTCAGACTGCTGGTCCCAACCCATGAGTGAGTTGTGAAATCATTTTAGTCTGAGTAGCTATCAACATTTTTGCTTTGCTGTGGAATAGAATGTAAAATGTTTGTGTATGGTGGTAAAGGTAAGCATAGCCATAGTAAATATTTTGGGTAGTGAAGTAAAATCTGTTTTTTACTCAGGTCATGCTCAAAAGTGTGAACTTCTATTCTTGCATTTTCACTCCACACTTCTTCCTACCATGTATACTTCATTGCTTTTAGTTTCTACCCAGCCATATTGCTCAAAGAGCCTTAATTTCATTTCCCTCCTAGATTTTAGTTTGGTTTTGCCATCATTCCAACCATTACATTTATCTTCCTGCTCACAAAACTCCTTTTAAAAAAAAATTGTATATTTAAATAGTGTTTTGTCATAAAAAGTGAGCCATCTCTGTACTAAAACATTTAAAAAGTCAAACTTCCGTATATCTCTGTTGAATATGAAATTCATTACTTCAATACAACATATACAGAATTCAGTTTGTGCAGTTCTTACAGACCACAACTGTCTCCTATGTATATCTAGGACCCGTGTGTACATTAATCCAGTAACAGGTTCTTGTTTTAACGGGTGTATATACCAGAGGAGACAAAGTTGATGGGAGGGAACAAGTCAAACTTAATGCTCCCAGCTCTCCAGAGAATTCCGGCTTCTTTCATAGCCTTTTTGAAAATATTCTCCCAGTAATTGTCAAACAGGACTTATTGGGAAGAGAGAAGACAGTAACAGCATTTGCGAACCTGCCCGCCTATAGATACTGTCCTCTTAAGAATAGGAAACACTGTAAAACTTTAGAGGTGGTTGAGTAACTTGGCCAATGTTCAGATAGCTAGCTAGTCAGGGGCGAAATGTGGGTGTCTTATCCCAGAGCACCATCTTTTTCTTCTATTCCGAAGTGCTGAGATAACACTCATCAGCTATCGTTTCACCACACCGGCATAGTCACGTATGCAGAGATTCTTCAGGTGACATCTGCGAATGCCAGCAGGGTCATAGAACTCTTCCACTGATATGTTCAAACTTAGCTTATGCTATCTTGATTTTTGTAGAGAGAGTGTCTTGACCCAAAAAAGATTACAGATTGTTGCTGTAGTTGGCAAAATAAACAGCGATCACCCTCCAAGGCTAACAGGTCAAAGGACAATAGCACTTGTGTGATTTTTGTTTGATGTAGAATTTTCCAGCCATCTTCTAAGTAGTCTTTCATGTAGTAACACTCTTTAATTGGCCACTGTATTTGTTCAGATATCTCCTGTGATAGTCTGTTTTTACTTTCTTGCCCAGGCAATTGTTACTACCTTGGTTTTACTTCATATCATTGTGGTGTGGTGGACACACTGTTCTTCACAGAAGCACAGGTTGCTTTTTAAAATCATGCACTCTACAAAAAGTGACATTTGAGGGACCAGCAGGTGGCGTGGTGGTTAAGGGCGCTGGACTCCCACATGGCCCACTGCAGTTTCAGTCCCAGGCCTGCCCGCTTGCTTTCTCGCTCTCTCACTCTCTCTCCCTCTCTCTCCCTTCCCTTCTTCCTTCCTCCCTTGCACTCTATATAAGTGGTTAAATAATATAATTCCTTTTTTCTAAAAAAAAAAAAAAAGGTGACATTTGAGCAAGACCTCAAGAAAGGGAAGGAGCCATGATGAAATGTATACATCATGTCATTGCTTTGCTTTAAGCAAGATAGTTTCCTTTGCTAAAAGAAAAGGTATCCAACGAATTATTAGAATTGTCAGAAATATTTCAGAATGCTGTATACCAGACCAGGAGAGTAAATGACTCCTTAGGGTTTCTGTCCACGGGATTTTGCTTGGATATGAGCCAAGTAACACACTCTCTCACAACAGTATAAGATTGTACAAGTGTGAATACTAAGACAAGAGTGTAAAATTGGCTGCTTCTTAAAGACTGATGTATCTGACCTAAACTGACCAACTCTGTCTTTCCTTAGATCTTAGGGATTCGATTTGCATTCAGGTTAGCGTGGATGTACATATACATTTTCAGTTTCTTGTTTGGTACTTGTTCAATAAAGCATGGACTATGGTTATCACTTTTACTACACTTAGCAATATAAAGATTATGGCTATCAATAAAAACTTATTCTTTCTTAAACTAAAATCTAAATTCTAGGCCTGCTCTGTGGCATAGTGATTTTTCTAGAGAGATTTGTGCTATAGGATGCATGCGCTTTCCAGAGACAGAGAGACATGAGAAATCACACCCCCAGGGGGATGACTGCACCACAGTCCCTCCTCCTTTCTCCTGTGTGGTTTTGGGCACACATGCACATGCACCCAGCATGATTTTAAGCTGTGGGGTCTGGGACTCAGACCACAGTCAACTACATGGGAGTCCAATGATGTAGCCATTACACCATCTGCTGGTCTGTGGCATAGTGATTAAAAGAGCTAAATCCCACATGGCCAACTGTGTTTCAGATCTAGGTACTGGGGTTTGAAAAATGTGCCAATGGTGTGTCTGTGCATGCCCGAAATCCCAACAGGTTGGAGAAATGAAGAAGGGATTGCATCGTGACCACACCCCCACAGGGGTGGTACTTTTTCTCTCTCTAGAGTGTATGTGCCCTTTGGCAGCTTTAAAAAGAAATCTGAATTCCTTCATTGCCTTGTATCATCATCGGGCTCCTGCCTATCTCTCTGACTGTACCTTACCTCTCTCTCCCCTTTGCTTCCTAAAATGCTTCTACCAACTGCCTGCATTCTGTTCCTCACAGGTGCCGGTCCCCTTCCTCGGCAGACTTTGTGTTTGCTATACTCTCAGCCTGAAAGTCTCCCCTGGCTCCTTCCTGACTGACTCCTCGCCATGTGGCTCGGGAAGAGGCGTTTCCTGACCACTCATATAAAGTATTAGTTCTACCCTTTCTTTCCAGCAGATGAAATCACATCATCCTGATAGTTTCTTCATAACACTGATTGCTGCCTGGGATAATTTACTATTTACTGTTCATTATTAAAGTCCCCAAAAGTACAAAGGTCATCAGGGCAGGTACCTTCTATTGCCTGTCCACTGTTGCCTAGATCAGTGCCTAAGGCACATTAAGAGGTTAATAATGTGTTATAGTCACACGACATTGTCTTTTTCTTTTAGAAAGAGAGAGGTTTTTGCTCTAGGGCGTATGCGTTCACCAGAGAGAGGTAGACAGAAAAGCAAAAAAATTGTGCCCCAGAAGGATAGCCATGCTGCAGACCCTTCTCCAGTCACCTCTGTGGATTTTGGGTAGGCATGCACATGCACCTGGCGTGAGTTTTAAGCCACTGGGTCTGGGACTCAAACTGCGGTTGACTACATGGGAGTCCAGAGCGATGTACCCATTATGCCATCTGCTGGTCTCCCACACAACATAGTCTTACTCTAAATTGTATATTCTTTGATAGTTCTGCTTATCTTCAGACAACTGGTGATTGAATCCCACACAATCAACTCACGTGGCCGCTTTCTTCATTTAATCCTTCACGTCCTCATGCCTGCCTCCTTCGCCCCATGTCCTCATGGTAACTCCAGTTCTTTGTCAGACCAGTGTTTCATCCAGCCCAGCGTTCTTTTCCTGAGGATCACACCCAGTGCTGTTTTGAGGAGAGCTGGTGGCACTGCTTCTGAAGGTTGCAAAGACCTATATTTCTGCCTTCTGGGAGCCCGTTACACATCTCTTCTTGAATAAGTTAAAATTCTCATCCCTTTGAGCTTATGGGCTCCTTGAATTTTTTCTATTTATATAAAATAATAGGGAAATTTTATTTTATACATTGTTGAAAAATAGACTTATTAAACCTAGTTTATGTTTGGAATATCAATCTTTAAGGAATTTTTATACCACAAAATATGCTTAAAACCACATTCAGTATGGTCTTAGACTTCAAAGGTATCAGAGTAATACAACTAAAGTGGACCTCTTCGGTCATCATCTTGTCATCTGAAATCTAAATAAAGATTACTTGTCTGTCTTATTTATATTTATCTAACTGTCTTCATAGTGTTGTCCTCACTCTGTGATGAAGTTCATTGTTTTCTATACTTTTCAAGATCTTAGATTTTGAACAAAAGGTGAAAAGCAAGGATGTAAAAATGTTATTTCCGACTCACCTTTTGCTTGACAGGACTCTGTATATACCTGCCTGCCACCTCGTCCAAGAGATCAGTCGAGCTCAGAGGGCAGTGAGCTGATAGAAGGTGTCTGCCCGGGCTCTCCTTTCGTACTCCACAGAGTATGTGAGGTTTGAGTCAAGCTCCGAGCCTCGGGGCCTTGTCTGGCATTCAGAATCTAAGTGTTGTCTTCTGTGGGAAAGGATGGAAAGCTCCTTCCACATCCTTTCCCACATCCTGCTTCTAAAGATGAATTCATTGAGCTACATACATCTGCCCTATTTACTTTGAAGGGAACTGGTGACAAATAAGAAAAGGGCATAAAATTTCATTACGTTGAAGTCGGCATCGCTGGAATAATGCCATCATATGTGAACTTTCCCTTCCTGCAAACAGTGTGACCCCAGCACTTTTACACAGGATGCAACTCTCTGTAGCCAGACCTGTTTGGTTCATCTCCAGAATCCACAGGACTCCTGGCTGTTGATTAGTGTCACAGTTGATCATTGGGGAATGAAAGCTCGAGTAAGATCCAACAAAACATGCATTCTGGGCTGTGTTTTAATTAGGAGAAGGAATGGATAATTAATTAATGGATGATTTCTTACTTTACAGACACCACTGAAGAAAACCAAGGCTCTCATAGGAGAGATGGGGATGACTTTCTCCAGTGCTGTAAGTTTTGAAGCTGATTTAATTTTGTTACTCTTTAATTGTATTTATATTCTAAGAAAAAACATCATCTTCAGGCAAGCCTGTTGTAATGTATATGGGTTTTTCTCTTACTTAAATGCTTGAGCTAAAAGAAAGACTTTATTCAATGTGATATGAATTCTTTTAATTGAAATTACACTTTTTATTAAGTGAAGATTAATTGTAGGTATTTTCTAAGTCTGTTTGTTCCACAACTCAGAACCAGAGAGTTTTATTTACAACCTCACTATTTGCAATTAGAAACATGATTGTAAGAATCAAGTAGCATTTATACCATGTAGACTGTTCTGTAGAAAAATCCAATTAGGGGGACCAGCAGTTAGCATAATGGCTTTGTCACTGGACTCCCATGTAGTCGACCACAGTTCACGTCCCGGACCCGGTGGCTTAAAACTCACACCAGGCGTGTGTGCGTGTGTGCCCAAGATCCCAAGAGGAGAATGGAGGAGAAGGGATTGCAGCATGGCCATCCCCCCTGGGGGTTGATTTCTTGCTTTGTCTCTGTCTGTCTGTCTGGCGGGCGCACACGCCCTATAGCAAAAACCTCTTCAAAAAAAAAAAAGAAAGAAAGAAAGAAAAATCCAATTAGGGGACCAGCAGTTGGCGTAATGGCTATGTCACTGGACTCCCACGTAGTTGACCACAGTTCCACAGTTCAAATCCCGGACCCAGTGGCTCAAACTCATGCTGGGCGTGTGTGTGTGCATGCCCAAGATCCCAAGAGGAGAATGGAGGAGAAGGGATTGTGGCTTGGCTATCCCTCCTTGGGGGTGAGTTCTTGCTTTCTGTCTCTCTGTCTCTCTGTCTCTCTGTCTCTCTCTCTCTCTCTCTCTCTGTCTTTCTGGTGAGCAAACAAACACACCCTATAGCAAAAACCTCTCAAAAAAAAAAAAAGAAATCCAATTAACCCTGATAGTCAAGCCTGACAGAGATAATAGCATGCCCCTAATAGGTAGATGCATAAATATAAAACATAAATATGTAAAAACACAGAGATTCAAATAAGATAACAACAGTTGAAATTTGAGAACCTTACACATAACCCAGTAAGTGGTCGACTATCAGGAAAGATCTAGGAAATCTGTTGAAAAGTAGCATAGTGTTATATTTAAGAGCATAGACTTTGGAACCAGACTGCCTAATTTTGAAGATTCTTTCATCCTCTTTTCTAGCTTTGTGAACTTGGGCAAGTTATCTAATCTCTCTGGCCCTTAGTGTCTCCATTTGTAAATGAGAGTACTAAAATCTGCCTCAGGGTCATTGTGAAGTTAAATGAGTTGGTGTATATTTAAAGCACTTATATCAGTGCCAAGTGATAATGAGTACTACATAATGTTTGTTATTATAGTGTCTACTACCATCATATCAGTAATGGAAAAAAGGAAAATTAGATGTTTATCTCAATAGATGGATGAAAGTCCTCTGAAATTTTAGTATCCTTTCCTGGTAATTCTTTTTTTAAAAATTATTTTATTTATTTATTCATTTGTTTTAATTTGACCAAAGAGGAGCAGAGTGAGTGAGAGAGAGAGAGAGAGAGAGAGAAAGTAAGAAAGCAAGCCACCAGTTCTGGGACTCAAACCATGGTCAGACACATGGGAGTCCAATGCTCTTAACCACCATGCCACCTGCCATCTCCCCTGGTAATTAATTAAACTATTAGAGTCATATATCTTTACTATTATGAATATTTCAGACAAATAGCACACTTCATATACTTAAGGTGAAAGACTCAGCATTGTTGTCAGGAATGCTACAAATCCTAATCTCTCATTTAACTTTGTTTGGCTTATGGAAAGAAGAAGTAAAACTATTGGGAAAAAGACAAAATTGTTTTTCCACCTATTTGGCTTTTCTACCTAGAAACACAGAGGAATTGTTGGAAAACTGTTTATTTTAGTTTTTTTTAAAGAGAGATTTTTGCTGTAGAGCACATGTGCTCACCAGAGAGGCAGAGACAGAGAGTGAGAAATCACACCCCCTCCCCCCGGAAAGATGGCCCATGCCACAATCCCTTCTCCATTCTCTCGGGATTTGGGACACACATCCCCAGCGTGTTTTAAGCCACCAGTTCCAGGACTTCAACCATGGTTGACTACATGGGAGTCCAGTGATAAAACCATTACACCATCTGCTGGTCCCAGAAAACTTTTAAATTAATAGAATTCAGTAAGATGCAAACCAAAAAACAAAATTTAGTAACTTTTCTAAAGTAGATTAGAAAACACAAAGGGAAAGGATTAAGAGTTGGCAGTGTAAAAATTACAGAAGTCGGGTTAGCAGGTAGTTAAAGTGCTGGATCCCATGTGGATGACTCTGTGGTTCAAGTCCTGGCCCTGGAGGCTTGACAAAAAACACCAAGTATATGTGTGTGTGTGCCCAAAATCCCTAGATAAGAAAGGAAAAAAAGGGATTGTGGTATGATCATCCTTCCTGTGGGGATGGGGGGCTTGATATCTCACTTTCTCTCTGTCTCTGTCTCTGTCTCTCTCTCCAGTGAGTGCACATGCTCTATGGCAAAAAAAAAAAAAAATACAGAAGTCAAACTTGTAATAAAATTTAGAGGTAAAAGTAAAAATAGAAAGGTTTTTTTTTTTTGTTGTAACATGACTAAATACTTTATAAATCTTACATATTGAGTTGTCAGAAAAAACGTGACCCATTTTTCCATAGAAAAGCATAGAAAAATATGCTATGACTTTTCCAGTAATCCAGAACAAAAAGCCAAGGAGGAAAACAAGTCTATATACAACTGGTCAATGTGCACATGCAGAAGAACATTTATCCTCACGACTACTTAAAAACTCCAACTCCAGTTTGAAAGGCAAAAAAAAAAAAAAAAAAAAAAAAAAAAAAAAAAACAAAAAAAT